GGATTCACGTGGGAAATGTTAAATATAGTATAGAATTACCTTTAGCGCCTTCTGAAAGCAATGCATTATTTGAACAAATATTTTCAGTTTTAGATGCTGTCTAATATGAGAATAGGCTGGATATGGGTACAGCCAAAGTCATCCTCATTGTTAAAACCAAGTTGAAATTATCATGCATTGGATTTCACACTTGTTAACTTGGATATAATTTCAAAAAAGAAAAATCCACTCTCCCAACAAGTCAATACTGGGAAACCTATGTAAAATGCCTTCTTTTGGTTCATGAAGTGCCATTCATTTTGCTACTTCAGTAACTAAAGCCTCCTGGATGGGGTCCAAGGCCAGCTCTGATTACATGGAATCCCACTCCAAAGGCAACATGTCAGAAGGAGGAGAACCTCACACCTGTTAGGTGTTCCAGCCATGTAGTCTGAATCTGATGTCTCCATTGGATACAAGCTCAGTGTTTAGATATGCAGAAGTTATGGCCCATGTGTGTCTCACCCAGCTCTACAGGAACCCAGGATGAGTTGGCAGGCTGAGAAAGGGAAGGAGTAAAAAACGCTTACTTCCTTTTTTCTTCCATCTCTCCCTATTTTCCCACTTCTAAAATGTCATGACAGCTCTACATGTAAAGCAAGGGGTTTTAAAAGAATAACATATATTTAAATGAGGAACAGAGGCATACCAGATGTTTGGGGCACCTAAAACAGCTTCAGGGAAAGGCAAAAGCAGAACTGAGAGACACAAAAAAAGTAGGAAATAGAAAGTGACATTGAGTTCTACCAAGCCCTGCTTGTTTCATCTCCAAGTTATATGGTGGAAAGAAAGACTGAGTTCATAAAAGGAGACCCTCTGGGCCATGAGTTGGTGGGATTTTTTAAATGTGCTCTGTTGAACTAGGTTTAGGACTTCTGCTTTGCACCCTCCCTGCCACACCTACTGCTCAATAAAATTATCTTTGATTATAACTTATCTTAAATTCTGTGCTTTCAAAACCCTATCAGCCAAGAAAATTTGGGGGTCTTGTGAGTGTGGTTCAATGGTTCCATATATTCCGAGGCTCTGTGGCTTCCTCTGCTTGTTGTAGATGATGTGTCTGAGGAGATATCCATGACATGACCTTAGTGTTTCCCTTTATCATGGAATTTTTTTTTCCAACCACATTTCTTAGCAGCTGTCACTCAAAGTGTAGTGACCTATATTAGTATCAAACTGGCCTGTGATACACATCGGTGAGTCCAAACTATCATTGCTGGTTTAAAGGAACATACCAAGCCCTCCTCCAGCCTAAATAAGAGCCTTGGACTTAGCATTCCTACTTAATGATTTGCCTATAATACCATCACCTTGCATAATTCATAAGTGAAAGCTAAGGCAGGTAACTTTTATTCTAAACATACAGCTACTACTCTACCAGGAAAATAGGGGAAAGTAGGACATTTAAGCATGCATGTGTTCTCTGCTAAGAGTTGTATTGTGAGATACTGGACATTTCTATGAAGATGGTAGATTTATATGCAGGATTTATATGCATATAAGCAGGATTTCTCAGCTATTGCAATTTACTTTAAAAAGCATATACTGTGTGAGTTATTCTTCATGTTCTTTTCCAGTTAAATTTTACATAACTATAACTACAAAAAATTCTTAAAGCAATACCATTTATTGAGTGCTAATAACTTTTGGGTAGATAAATAACTCTGTCCTTAAGTTCATGACTCTATTATCTACTTATAAATAATATAGTATCTATATTATCAACATAACTATATAGCAATGCTCTCAAAGTCCTCTCAGGAGCCTTGATCAAACTGCCCATAGTTGTTGACAACTTAAAAATTGGGAATAATCAGCAATTTATTCTATAACTCGCAAAGATTGAGAAGAATTAGTAATCTAAGAAGTCTTCACACTAAATTCATGATCCTGCTACTGGGACTTGGAGGTATTCTGCCAAGCTTCTTAGTTAGAAACCAGTTAATTGTCTTCATTTTAGATTTAAGATAACATAATAGGTAGTAGTCAATCTGTTCTTTCTGGTTTTAATGGTTAAGAAGATTTTAGTCTTTGTTTTATTTTAATTACCCAATTAACTTCTTAGTTATACTGCTATCTTGGGATCAAAAACCTGCAAACAATTTTAGGCTTCATGTTAATAGCAGAAGGAGATTGGAATGTACCAACTACAATCCCGAAAGGGAATGGCTAAGCATGGATTTGATTTGAGTTCAAAAAGCAAAACTTTTAGAAGATGAGATATGACACATTAATGTCACATTTTTTAAAATAATTCACAGAACACTCCCATTTCCAGGTTAGAATTCTAACTTCTGGCAATCTAAGACTCCACCATCCCATTAGAATAGTTGGGGATGTTGTCAGACATACTTTGAATTAACCCATCAATTCACACCCAAGTACTTTAGCATTCATAAGCTGCAAAATAAATTACCCTAAAAATAATTTGTCATTTGACACCTTCCAAAATGCCTTGAAAGGGGGAAAAAAATCTACTTTATTCCAGAGAGATCAAAGTAGGTGGAGTGGGGGAGGTGTAATAAAAATATCTTGCCCGTGTACAGGGGGAAAATTACTCTTTCCAGTAAAACTGCTTACAAAAAGAAGAAGAAGAAGGAGGAGAAGGAGAAGGAGAAGGAGAAGAAAAAGAAAAAGAAAAAGAAAAGAAGAAAGAAAGAAAAGGGGGGAAAAAAAAGATAAAGGCCAGTAAGGAAACTTAGCCTTCTGAGAATTCTTTCCCATTCTCCAGTACTATAGAGGGACTGACTTCAAGGTTCCTAAACAAATGACCAAGTCTTAAAAGGAAAAGAAAAGGAAAAAAAAAAAAAAAAAAAAAAGGATGCTTTTACAGTATTCCTTTCTCAGAAGGGGGCTAAATCTACAGGACACGAGAAGCCTTCAAAACCCACTATTTTTACTGCCTGAAAGCACAAATCCTCCCTCCCAAGAGCAGCCTTTGGCTTGTCCCACTTTGCTAAGTCTTGCAAAAAGGGTCTTCACATTAACTCGTGAGACAGTGGTGGTGCGGCTCTAGCTATCACCGGAACGTCAGCAAGTGTTGGGCTCAGTGCGGGGTTGGGGTACTCCGCACAGTTGAAATTAGGAATGCGAGCGGTAAGGTGACAACATCACTTTCTCCTTGGGCAATGCTCAGGATGGGGGGTAGCAGTTCAGAGTTACTAAATGCTGAGAAGTTGAGAGCGAGAAGGGTAAAAGGACGGGGACTGGAGGAGGAGGGTGAGAAGGGAAGGAGGCGGCGGAGGAGGCCGAGGAGGGAACAGAGGCGGACGGCGAGAAAGGGGTAGAGCTACAGCACAGGAATGAGAATTCCAGGGCAGGGCACGGGGCCCACTGCAGCACGGCGCCCGCGGGCAGCCAGAGACTCTCCCCGAGCCTCCACAGCTCCCCAGACGTCCCAGGTGGGGCAACTGCCCAGGCGTCCCCCGCCCGCAAGCGAGCATCTGCCCTTTGGACCGTCTAACAACTCGCAGTTCCCCTGCTCCTGCAGCAGTGGGGGCCTCCCGGGGTGCTCAGCCTCCACACCCACCACCTCCATCTCCGCCCACCCACTCCTCCTCCTCCCCTTCCTTCACGTCCTCCCCCTCCTCCTCCTCCCCCCTCTCGCTCCGGGCACCCGCAGACGGCATCCCCCCCCCTCGGAGCGAGCCGCCCCAGCTACGCTGCGTTTGAAGTGTTCCGAGGCAGGGAGACAGCAGCCACTTGCTGCCTGGCCGCTGGGGCTCGGGGTGCCAGCGGAGCTCCGGGTGTCAGGGCGGCCGCGGGGAGCCATGATCTACTACACCGCAGTGCCGGCGTCAGGAGCCTCCAGCGCCGGGCGGCCACTGCGGGACGCCCGGGGCCCCGCCCCCGCCCCCTTCGCAGCCCCAGACAAACACCCGGCCCCCGAGCCCTCCCCAGCCTGAACTGAACCCCGGGACGCCACACACCCCCGCTGCCCGCGCGCGCGACTCCCAGACTGGCTTCGCCAGCCTCCTCGTCGGCGCGCCGCCGCCACCACGCAGCCCTCCGGACTGGCCTCCCCCAGTTGCTCGCCCACAGCTTCGCCGCCACCCCCAAACGCCTCAGATTGGGATACCGGGAAGTGAACCCCCGGGACTCGACTCCCCGAATCACCTGCATTTGCATTTCTTATGTAATGCACTGCAAGTTTCCCGGTTGGAGCCTTTGGAATAGGGGCGCATGATGACCGGAGCCTGAAGCTGGGACCCACGACCCGGCTCGTCCCACCCGCGGGACTCGGGCGCAGGGTTTTGACACTGTTTTCGGGGGGGGGGGTGTAAAATTGCATATACTGGAGGGGCTGGGCTTGTCTTCTCCGTCTGGGGTTCCCCCCAGGCATAAGCCCAGCTCAAGTATTCCCACTGGCAGGAGGTGTCGGAGGCAGACGGGGGAATGAGTTAATACTCGTGCCCGGAGAGCTAGACGGGGGAGGGAGGCGGGGGCTGACGGAGGAGCGGGGCCGAGAGGGAGAGGGCCTCTTTTACTTTGGTAAAGGTGATGGGGTGACGAATATTGTGCAAGCTAATCAGAAAGTCTAGAGCAGGTCCTCGGCACCTAGCTACGTCCCTGAACCTGCTGCAGAAGTAAGGAGAGCTCGCGGTTCTTTTTCCTGGCAACTACCGAACCTTCAACTGCCTCGGGCAAAACCTTAAGCCACAGCCCTTCAATATTCCACCAAACATAGGTAACCAAATACATTAAAAAAAAAAAAAAAGTTTCCTCCTCCCTCCTAGTGATGGATTGTGTCACAGCCAAGAGATGCTGATAATGGTTTTCTGGCTCAGAGACACCGATCCAGCTGTTACCTGTTTATCCATCAACACCTCTATATGCAACACTGTCCTGGTTCCTTTTCTGTTTCCCCTGCCTTCCTGCATAGCAGAACTGCAGATATAGCTCAATGAGCAACAGACAGGTTATTATGAGGAAAAACATAACATGATGCATGTTTTGCTTACCAGTTGGGTTCTTGTTTTTCTTAAGACTCTTGCCACAAAGACACTGCAGCATATGCGTTCCTTTGCTGAAAATGTTCCAAAGAAACCACATTGATTTGGGCGAAAAGCAATCCAGCAGCTTAGACACCCTGAGAAAGAAGAGATCCTTGTGGTTGCATAATAATAATTTGAAATCAGTTCTCCTGAAGAGGGGCACCGGTTTTACCATAGGAAAAACGATAATATTCCGGATCTTCTCCCAGTTTTTTCCCCTCACGTGGTATATTTCTTTGAGACTTCTCAGTGATTGTTTTTTTTCGGCCAGGGTGAATGATTTATCCCCCTCGATCACCACTGGATTATTACCAAAGGGTTGGGAAAAAAATCCTTTTTCAGCATGAAGCCAAACAAAAAAGCAAAGAAATCCCAACAGAGACCAGAACTAATCAGAGAGAGCAGTAATGCACAAAAGATCCCCAAAGAGAAAACCATAGCCTTTTACTTGATCGCTATGAGGATGGGTGGGTCTGCAGAAGGCAAAGCAGGATTCATCTCACTGAGAGAAGACTGCCATTGTGTAGCCCCTAGGAGAGAAGGAAAAAAAAAAAAAAAAAGGAAAAAGAAAGAAAGAAAGAAAAAAAAAGGGAAAAAAAAAAAAAACCACCAGCACACACACACACACCAATACCACCTCCGAAATCGAGTCTAACCGCCGAAGACAGAGCCTCCCTTCTCCCAGTGTCGATTTTTTTTTTTTTTATAATCAATCGCCAGTGCTCAGTGGGATCGGATTGAACCTGCAGTTCTCAATCACCACGAAGAAAAGATGCAAATCCAGGTGCCCCCTCCCCTTGTCAGGCTGGTAGTAGGTAGAGAGCGCCACAGATCCCCTTCCTCCTTCCCGTCACTCTCCCAGTTTCCAACAACGGCGAGCATGAGGAAAATCTCCCCTCCGGATTCCTCGCCCAGCCTCGGATGTGAGTTACAGGCATTAGAGGGAGGAGGAGGAGGAGTTGAAGTTTGCATTGAAAAGACTGGCTTTCCATGACGTAGCCACGTGCTTTCAGACCCGTCACCAGTGAGATGCTTCAACCCGCCCGGGGAGGGCAGTGTCACTGCAGTCTCTCCGCTACTTTCCCCCTGGAAGTCCCCCACCACCCGCACCCAGCCCCAGCCCCAGCCCTGGACCCTCTCCCTCCTCTGCCCAGAATGAGTCGGCGGGCTGCTTGCTCCTGGAGCCACCTAACAAGAGTGAAAAGTGGATTTTGAAAAGGAAAATGAACAATTATAATTAGTAAGCCTTAGAAAATATGTGAGAGGGAAGGGGACTGAAGAGGAACAGTACTTTATGACCACCCCTCACAGCCCAAATGAGTTCCACCTCACTTACATTAGCAAAAAACAGCATAGAAAGCCTCTAAAACATGAAGGAAAACTCAAGTTTCTTTAGTTCTTATTATTTGAATTCTACTTAAAATGCTGTTTGAAAAATGTAAGATTAGGCATAGGACAAATATGTACTTACAGAAACAGCCTTTTAAAAAGATAACCACTAAAATCTAGGTGGCAAACTGTATTTTGGTGGAGAGGGTCCTATGAGAAAAGTTGACACCTTTTTTAGACAGACAATCCATTATCCTCAATTTTTTTGAACAGAAAACACTCTGCTTAGACTACACCCTAATTCATTGCTTGTTTCTGTGCCCATTATTGAGCTAGCATTAAATTCACCTTCATTCCCTTCTCATCTACACTAACATACAACCGTGTCACCCCCCACCACCATCTAACCTAACCAAACAGGCAAAATTTCTGCTTCCCCAGGATTCAACCCAGCTTCCTTCTTCCTCAGGAAATCAAAAGATTTAAGACAGAACTAAAGATTTTGTCTTATTTGGGGAAAAATACAATGTATAAGATATAGCAACTATTACAAAGAATAATATCACAAACTCCAGCGTACTCATGGTTCTCAAATTAACAAATGTTAGCATTTCAACACATTTGTGACCTGAGCATTTCAGAAAAGTAAAATTGACCTCTCTCACTCTTATTAAGTAAATGGATTAAAGTTATGCCAATTTATTTCCATTTTATGGAAAACTGATATAGGATTTTTAACTAATTTAAAAATAAATTCTTAGGGGTGTGTGGGTGGCTCAGTCAGCTAAGCAACTGCCTTTGGCTCAGGTCATGATCTCAGGGTCCTGGGATCAAGCCCCACATCAGGCTCCATGCTCAGTGGGGAGTCTGCCTCTCCTTCTCCCCCTGCTTATTTCTCTCTCTCTCTCAAATAAATTAATTAAATATTTTAAAAAACAAAAAATATGTTCTTTGAAGCTCCATTTTAATTCCAAAAAATAAATAAAATAAAATCTCAAAATGCCTCTACTGCATGAGATCTCAAACTATCTTATAAACAAAGAGCTGTTGATTTGTTGTTGAGGATTGAGTCAAGAAATTGATTTTTAAAAAATTAACACTTTTATTAGCAGTTATCAAAAAATAAAAAGGTAATAACTTTCCCACTGAGAGTTTTTTTAGATGAGTTTTTTTTGAGATGAGACGTCAAAATTTGTATCCAATACCCAAAACCCTTTTGGGAAACATTAGTCAATTTTAGATAAGATAGAAAAAGAATCTAAAATGAATAAATTCTATTAATGATATGAAACTGGAAAGTTAAATAGTGATGCCCTCAGTGTGCCAAGAGTCATGTCATAAAGCCCAAGGAAACTACCGAGATTGATGGCAGTCTAAATAAAGTTTGGGAAGTAAAGAAAAAGAGAATACAAAGAGTCTAAAAATTTAATGCCAAGTGACTTAGGACAAGCAGTCTGAAAAAAAAAAAAATGAAGAACAGAATTCCTTTTTGAAAGGGGAAAAATGGGATAGCATTGCCAAAAATTAAGAAAGCATTTTTTTATTTTAATCAATCGGGGATGAATACCGTATGCTGCTTCTATAACATTCTGGTGTCCTCTCCTGGTTCTAGAATATCCCAATATGGATGGAGGCCAGAGAAACAGTTGAGTCAAAAATATTCTCCCATCAAGTTCTTCTGAGTTCACATAGCTCTAAGGTTCTATAAAAGTTTGCTGAGTTCCCTGAGGTATTTCACAAGTAGAGTAAAATCTGGGGAGATATTCTTTAATTATTAAAAATTTTTACACGCTAAGTTTGTGTAGAAAGAACACTTCTCATACTGGTTCTTCTTGCATTTCCAAATTGGACCCTCTTCTTTACATTATAACCATGAATTTGATCCCTCCTCAAAAAAAGATTTACTGCCAGAAAGCTGTGGTTTGTTTTCCTATATGTTGATGGAAAATTTATTGCATCTTTGTCCTATCACCTAAGGAACAACATAAAAGGTCATTAACTGTGACTACTATTTACTGAGAATCTATTATGCCAGGCACTGTGTTAGTTGCGTCTCATCTTTTTATGCCATTTAAATGAAAAATAAATCTTTTAGTACAATGTATGAGATTTCTATAGTTCCTTTCTATATTTATTGATACATTATATACTTATGTTACATAGGCTATTATTAATATTATTAAACAAACAAACAAAAAATACCAAATGTTTTTGTCTGGAAAAGATGGCCTAACCCTGGTTCCAAAGGACTTGCAACTTCTGATGACCTCTGAGGCACCCAATTCAATTATTCAACCATTATTTTTTGAGCATTGACCCCCGCCCCCCTCCCATGAAAGTTTTCTTATAGGACTCCATTTTGCAGGCTAACCCATAAAATTAAACCAGCTCTACAGCTACATAATAAAGAAGACCACAAGTAGTCCAAGAATCAACATAGGTTTCTGGGGGCTGCCAGCTTAGGGATGATCTGAAGATACTTACAGAGACCTGAGTCCAGACCATTATTTAAGACCATGTTTTGGAAGACTATCAGTACTGTTACTTATGTTTTGCCATGCTACAAATCACTATTAGATGAAAAAAAATAGAACTATTGGGAAAAAAATGCAAGCTTTAGAACACATGTAAGTAAAGCTAAAATGAGGAAAGCTTCATCATAACTATAAGAAATAGTGGTAAAATTTGTAGTATATATAGACAGAAAAGACTGTTTTTCTTTACGCTGAGATAAAATAAAGCCATTATTCACTATCAAGGTCATCTAAAAATTAAACATATCTACAGCACATCATAGTTAACTAACCTAAAGATAAGTATAATGACTAGAATTTCAGAACACAATATACATTTTATTTTAATATAAAACATGAACTTTCATAAGATTAGGAATCAAAAGTCTTCGTAACTGTCTGAGCATGCTTTTTTCTAATTATTCCCAGGAGTTACTTTTCTATGTCATTCTTTCTTTTAATGGTAAAATCCCAGTCCCCACCACAATTTGGGAAAGCACATGGATACCCAGGTAGAGAAGAGAATTCCCCATCTCCATCACAGCAACGTTGTGGTCATGTGACTGGATTCTGACCAATGAGATGTGAACAGAAGAAGACTTCCTGGTCACATTCTTCAAAGGAAATCACTTGTCTTCATTTTTCCCTTTTATCCTCTCTGTTAGCTGAAAGGAATTGTGTGAGCAGCTTTGACAGCCCAGACAGGAACACACCCCAGGACTGAAGTACCGAGATAGAAGAAATGGTCAGAGCAGCCAACCTGTCCTTGACTGCCCAGTTAACCTCTGCACTTTAGATGACAGAGAAAGAAACTTTTATTTTGTTTGAGCCACTGTATTTTGTGTGAATTTATCACAGCAGTTTATTCTCTCTACCCTCTTATGGACTGGTCTGCAATTAATAACAACACACTTATATTTGGGTTACTTATGTTAAAAGGATAAAGAACGCCAAGTACATCACTTATAACCTATTGCTTTATTCACAGCCTGTGACTCTCCTTTCCATTCACCAGAGCAGCTACTGATCTCTTAGCTGCCTTTTATAAACTCTCCTGCTTATCCTCACCGCCAGTGCAAACATCCCATTGTCAGATCTTACTTCCTTTGTCTCCTTCTCTGCCCTGCTCCCAGCCCATCAGACATAACCTATGACAGTTTGGAGCTTATGACCATAACAATAAAGCTTTGATCCCTGAAAGGAGAAGAAAGACAGAGGGCAGAGGGATTGGAAGAAAGAGTAGGTCAGAAAGAAAAAAAGACGACCAGTGTGTACATGAGGACCTCCATGTCTATATTTACCTTGTAAGCCTTTTTCAAAAACATGGTGCCTTTTGAAGTTTGCACATTATTCCTTCTCTATTGTTGCTGTTAAGGATTATCATCACTTTTTAAGGGGTAATTCTAAATTCTGCATCACTGTACCGTTCATTAGTACCATTTCCCCCTCTCCCTATGTACCCACATTGATTCACGGCCTACAAAACCTCTGCTCCTCTCTCCTAGAGGGAACAGCCTGGAAAGGCAACTCCAGTCCTTCTCTCTGCCTCCTCCCAGTTTCTTAATAATGAAGGAATGACTTGAGTGGCTTAGCTCTTTCTTCTCTCGTTCTTCAGATCTATCTGCAAAAAGTTTTCAGACTCCTCTCCTTCAGCCCTTCTCTGTGGGAAACACTGGGTCAGACTTGGAGCCCACAGCCTGTCTTCTAGAAGCAGGGCTGAAGACTGGTCTTTCTCTGTACTCCTCAGGGGGCTTGGAGCAAACGTCGTCAGTGCCCCCATATAGATGGCTTTCATTCTGCCGTATCGGTGTGTGCTAGTTGATTTCCAGCTTCCCGAATCTCCATCTCTGTACCTGAGGGATTTTTTTCCTTCAACCATGGAAGGCCCTGCTCTCCAGGTACTCACAGAAAAACCTGGGAATGAACACTCCCTAGGAGAATTTCTCCATGACAAAACAGCCAGCTCCCTTACCTCTTGGAGGGATAATGATGAGGCATGTGTTTTCCATCTTTTCCCAGAATTTCCCTAAGGGATCAAGACAGTCTCGCACTGGGATGGCTGGTTTATCGGCATATAATTGGCCCTCTCCCCTTCCCCATATCCATTCCCCACTCATCTTCTCTATTTTCTCTCAAATAAACTACTTATACAAC